GGGAGCTGCTGATCAATTGCTGTGCGGTTAATGTATAAAAGCTAATGAACACATTGTCAAAAAGAAGAGATTACAAATGAACATATGTTAATTCTACCGTATCTCGATATGCTATATTCGCTTTAAAAAACAAATAATGAAGCCTGCACATATTCATACTGGTTCGACACCTTCACATCCTAAAAGGTGGGAAAATGCTTACGCTTTCTCATTTTTATTTTTTGTTTGCTTAATTTGGTTTGCTTTTGTTCGATTTTGCGAAGAAGATTTTGCATTGGACCTAGCTACTTTTTAGAACAACGACAATGACTGGTCATAGTGATAAAGACGAAAAATATTCTGTTAACGTGAAAGTTAACGATTCACATGTTCATCGAGCAGCTGTCACACGCGATTACATTAAACAACCACGTTTAAGTAAAGTGATTGTACTTTTGTTAACAATGGTCTCAATAATGTTCAATATATTCTATTTTTAGCTTACAAAACTGTTGTCGGTGTCAACGGTCCACTAGTGATATTAGACAATGTTAAATTCCCAAAATTTGCTGAAATAGTAAATTTAACATTACCTGATGGAACGCAGCGAAGTGGACAAATATTAGAAGTATCGGGCTCGAAAGCTGTTGTTCAGGTAAATCTAATGATAGCATGTTAATCTCATCTGTTATCTTTGGTATGATTCAAGGTGTTTGAAGGCACAGCTGGTATTGATGCTAAATATACAACGGTCGAGTTTACGGGTGATATATTACGAACGCCTGTATCAGAAGATATGCTTGGACGAATATTTAATGGTTCTGGTAAACCAATTGACAAAGGACCAACTGTTCTGGCGGAAGATTATTTAGACATTAATGGTAGGTTTGTTCAATGCTTCACTCTCTCAAAAAAATTAACCAGAAGATCATTCTATTCTCTTCACACTCGTTGTAATTCTTTATGCGTTGATGGTCGTGAAGAGCGTTTCAGTTGTTTATTGCCTTACACCGAAACAAGAGTATCAAAAATATAACGTAGTAACAAGTTTGTTCGTTTTTTAATAGGCGAGCCGATCAATCCGTTTTCTCGAGAATATCCAGAAGAAATGATACAAACTGGTATATCCGCTATCGATGTTATGAACAGTATAGCTCGTGGTCAAAAAATTCCAATATTTTCTGCTGCCGGTTTACCACACAATGATGTATGTTTGTTATAGATTTTTGTATTTGCTTTTGTATCCAATTCTTTACATTTCTGATTTAGATTGCAGCACAAATTTGCCGTCAAGCTGGTCTTGTTAAACATTCTAAAGGAGTAATAGATAATGATGATAATTTTGCGATTGTATTTGCTGCTATGGGTGTAAGTTTATTTTGTTTTGGTGCTGTTGATCTGTTTTTGCAGCCTATTCTTTGTGTTAGGTGAATATGGAAACAGCACGTTTTTTCAAACAAGATTTTGAAGAGAATGGTTCTATGGAGAATGTTTGTTTATTTTTGAATTTAGCTAATGATCCGACGTGAGTAACATGTTTTCAAACTTATATTTTTTATTTCGAAAGTTTCATTATAGAATTGAACGTATTATCACACCACGCATTGCTTTAACCACAGCTGAATTTCTCGCTTATCAATGTGATAAACATGTTTTAGTCATTTTAACTGATATGAGCTCTTATGCTGAAGCATTACGTGAAGTATGATGATAAATAACGTCTCATCTCTGTGAAATATAAGGATTTTTACTGTAGGTATCAGCGGCTCGTGAAGAAGTGCCTGGTCGTCGAGGTTTTCCGGGTTATATGTATACCGATTTGGCAACAATATATGAACGTGCTGGACGTGTGGCTGGACGTCATGGTTCGATTACCCAAATTCCTATTCTATCCATGCCAAACGATGGTATATTTTCCCTTTAGATAACTGTCATTTAGAAATTAAACTTTTTCTTCTACTTAATTATAGACATTACACATCCCATACCGGATTTAACTGGTTATATAACAGAAGGACAAATTTATGTTGATAGACAGTTACATAATCGTCAAGTAAAAAGAAGTTATTCTCTGTTTCTTTCGTCTTTATTTGATTTTTTATTTAGATTTATCCACCAATTAATGTTCTTCCATCTTTATCACGTTTAATGAAATCAGCTATTGGTGAAGGAATGACAAGAAAAGATCATGCTGATGTATCAAATCAACTGGTAGGTTTAGAAAATAAATATGGTATCAAAATGTTTTTCTATAAGATCATTCTGCTGCCAGATAACGACTGGAATATAATATATACCTAGTTCTAATTTTTCCGTTTTAAGTATGCTAATTATGCCATTGGCAAGGATGTTGCAGCTATGAAAGCTGTTGTTGGTGAAGAAGCATTGTCATCTGACGATTTGCTTTATCTCGAATTTTTGACAAAATTTGAAAAGAACTTCATTTCACAAGGTAAACTAAGAGAGGAAATATTTTTTTACGTGTAATTAATTAATTCTCTTTTGATTAGGTCCATATGAAAATCGTTCCATATTTGATAGTTTGGATATTGGTTGGCAATTATTACGTACATTCCCCAAAGAAATGTTGAAACGTATTCCACATAATATTATTCAAGAATTTTATCCGAGACATACATAAGAAACACGTTTGATTTTCAATGTGCGTGTGTCTAAAAGCATTTATTTATCCATGACGTTTATTTCATTTTTGTTTCTAAAGCTTTTTTAGTAGTGCAATACAAAAATAATTTATATTTAAAACCAAATACGGCTGGCTTTCAGTAATTTTCTTTCATCGCTCAGTCAGAGAGTTCGAAACCGGTTTTCTTCTACAGTCTTATTATTTTTTGGCCTTTTGAGTACGACTTCGTTCATCTGTTTTTTTTCTCATCGAAAATAATATTTGGGAGCTTAAACGTAAACATTTTTTGCAAATAATTAATTGAACTTAGATTTCGTCTATCTGTATGTAACATCAGATTTTTTTTGTAGAAAACAAAAGTTTTTGCTATTATCCTAGCTAAGATCAGTTTCACACAGTATGTTTGAATATCTTATTTTCTTTCTTCATATATTTGTGTGTGTAAGTAAATCATCAACCTTTTCCAATGTGTTTCTCGGTGTTAGAATTATTTTTTCATGAGATGTAATTTTATGTTTGTCTCTTTTTGATTATTAGGTATGTTTTTCACACGTTTTAAAGTTTCTACAGATTTATCGTTTTCAAGGCATCTGTTTGTGAGGTATTCAGATGCACCATCAGCTGTTTTTTATAGACAATATAGACACTCCATCCATGTTTTCTCACGTCTGTTAAATATTTTATACTTATTTTTGTTCTAATTCTATGCCTTCCTGTTCCCTTTGATATTTGTAAGTCCAGAATTATTCTTGTGTCTTTATTTGAGATAAAATTGGAAACAAAATCGTTTGATTTAATAAACTGCAGTACGAAATATTGATCTTTTACTTGCTGTTCATCTTGCAAATATACATCTCTACAATAGTCGCTTACTGTTGATTCATAAAAGCTTCGCGCTGTACCTCTACTGCTTATTTAACTCGCGCTGTACCTCTACTGCTTATTTAACTCGCGCTGTACCTCTACTGCTTATTTAACTCGCGCTGTACCTCTACTGCTTATTTAACTCGCGCTGTACCTCTACTGCTTATTTAACTCGCGCTTTTTAATACTAAATATCATTAGGAAAAAGATATTGTGTGTATTTTTCCTAAATATATTTGATAGTTAGGACAGAGGAAGACTACCCGCCTTGCGGCTACCATTACCGGTGTAGGGCGCTGCCGTGCCAGTTTCAATAGCCCGATATCTTCCTGCAGTTTACAAGCTGCTGAAATCGAAACTCATCTCGTTACTAGTCATCAATTGCAGAAGACTAGACTAACGCATAGTTTTTGCGCTCAATTACTTGAGCTTCCCATATACACTTCGCTAACCATGTACTCGCTTTCCGGAAAACCACGAGGACTAGGCGGAGAAGTTGTATTGCACGTCACAACGTAGTGAGTATGCTGTCAAACGGGTGATCCGAGGCACTAACACATACGTAACTTGCCCAAAGTTATTACATAACTTTTGCTAGCGCCGGGGTTCGAACACAGTACCTTAGCAGCGACATACTTCGGAAGATTCCCAAAAGACAGCCTGACATAAGTACTGATCATTGGCATGTGAGCGCCAAAATTTCCACAGGTATCGGACGAGAAATCGATCTTCAAATAGGCCATTTTTCATATTCTACCCCTTTTTGAGCTCATCCACACAACAACCGAGGAACTTGCACGAAGTGAATTCAAAAATTCTTCTATTTTTTAAGAAATTTTATTAAATAAAATTCTTCCTTATTGTGCGTATATGTTTGCACATGTTCGACAGTTATTTTGCACACGCTCTTCACTATAGATAGTACTCAACCAGAGGACAAAAAATTCAGACATTGATTGAGCAACGTATGGGAGAAACGATGACTCATAAATACATTTCTTTCTTTTTTTTCCATAACAGACCAAAAAGATGACGCAATTTGCAAACGTATTTGTCATTACGCAAGATAGAATGTACTATATATACAGTTTCTTACCATTAACAAAACGGTTGTTGATACCAGTGGTTCGCTAGTGATATAAGACAAAATTAATAAAATTAAGGATACTTAGCTTAAATACCATACTTTCAGAATGTAAGCTTCTTGCCTGGCTAGGAAAGAGATCGGAGAACTAGATTCAATTCTTTATACAGCAAAAAAATGTGCTTGGGAAATGTTGACAGTCACTTTATCCAGACACTATACGGTTTTCTAACCATCGATTTCTTCTTTTCGTTTTACTCTGCTGTTGACAGACAAGAATAAAACTTTAAAGATTAGTCACTATATCTTAAAGGGTGTCTCATTTGTTTTTTTGTAGATCATCTACATATTTCTCGACTTTTATATTATCTTATTTCATCAGACCAGAGCCTCCGACCTTATCTTTCCTTCGTTTCGAGTTATTATCGTATGACCGATCAAGACATAACTGAATTACGATCTGCTGATCCATTTGCGGATGTGACAGGAACAAATTCTTTAGGCGATTCTAAGGCCAGGGGTAAGTAATATCTGTCTCCCTTTGCTCCTCTCCATTATGTCTTATTTTTTGTTTCATCTTTAGGCGGCCAACGGAGTTCCAATTTAATACATATTCGTATTCAACAACGTAGTGGTAAAAAAACATTAACAACTGTTCAAGGTATTGGTGAAGAATTTGATAAAAAACACTTATTAAAAGCATTTAAAAAGAAATTCGCTTGTAATGGTACTGTAGTTGATCATCAAGAATATGGAGAAGTAATACAATTACAAGGTATAAAAAGAGCTTAACAATCTTCTCAGTTAGAACTTATAAAGTTTCTTTTCTTTTTCAGGCGATCAACGTATTTATGTTAGTCAATTCTTAAAAGACATGGGTATTGCTTCTGATGAACAATTGAAAGTACATGGTTTTTAACCTGAACAATTAAAACACAATTGTAATCAAAATAAAAAATCAGAAAATAGACATTTTTTTATCAAAGTACAAAAACCTTTTTTGTCTCATTTATTTATCTATCTTTCCTGGACTTTGAGAAAGTGTTATTTACTCTTTGTTGTTTTGTTGGTATAATATAACATTTATGTATTGTCTAATCCACACAATTTTTACTTCAAATGAGCATTTTTTTGATTGTGCGACAGAAAAAAAACATAACCAAGAACATTTTTGAAAACAAAAAGCAACTGTTGGTTTTATCAAGTATTTGCTCTTTAACGTTCCTCCTAGTATTTCTCTCCTGTTTATCTAATAAAAATTCAGAAAAAAATGTGTTTTGTATATTGTTTACTATGATCAGGAAAAATAAATGTAACCAGTGTTTGCACAAAAACACTACAACTCATTTCTCTCCTTAAGAAAAGCTTTCTTCTGAACTGAAACATGCACTTTAAAATCCACATTTCGTAAGCTTTTCAAAACTTTTTGAAAAAGTTTTCACAATCTTTTGTTTCAGAGTTATTAATGTTTTATTGATAATCTCAAAAACTATGTTTGTATAAAGAAAGAAGACGATTTTCTACGCTGCACCGTTGATATTAAATTGAGAATTCACTTTTTATTTGAATACCGGATTATAGGCCAGATATTTCTGTACAAAATGGTATTTCGCGCGTTTTTATGAGACTTTATTACAAAAAGTTATCTGTACTTTTTCCAAAAATCTCATACCATATAAAACGCTGTATATAGTAAATTTTGTAAAGAAAGAGAATTTTTTGTAGAACGCTTATAATTTCTTAAAGGAAAGCCATAGTGAGGCACGCGGCATTTATCATTTTCTCGAGAAATGTTTGCTCATCAAATGAATATTATTACGCTTCCTCTGTCACAGTGGCATTAAATTTTGTTAAAAATGATATCTTTTTTCTATGTAGAAACACAGTTTTCGAGAATATCAAGAAAACATTAATAACTCTGAAACAAAAGATTGTAAAAGCTTTTTCAAAAAATTTCGAAAAACTTACTAAATGTGGATTTCAAAATGTACGTTTCAATTCAGGAGAAATCTTTTATTAAGAAGAGAGATGAGTTTTAATTTTGTGCAAACACTTTTGCAACAAGGGTTATAAATGAAGTCTAAATCGAAGAACAGTTAGTTATACGAGGAATATTAAGAGGCACACAAGAAGAACAATAAACTTCCAAGTGAATCTGAAACGAAGCTAAGATTAGGGACCGCAGAGCTGGAGTTGGATTTGAGATGTCGAATAAAACCGTAGAGAGAAATGTCAACTTGAAATCATCGCTGATGGTGAGAGTGTTACTTGAAAAAGTTTTAGTTTTTGAACTTATTACCAGCTTCAAGCATATTTATTTTGCGTTGTTGTCTTTACTAATGATATTCCTGTTGGTCTTTTTGGAGTTCAAGATGACATTTGAAAATAGTGCTGATGTATTAGAAACAAATTCAATGTTAACCGATGATGAAGCCACATTATATGATCGTCAAATACGTTTATGGGGAGCCGATGCTCAATTAAAGTACGGTTTGATTTCAACATTCTATGTTTACTTAATCTTTGATAATTTTTCTTCTCAATTTTAGACTTCGACAAACTCGTTTATTAATTATCAATGTAAATAGTTTATCGATTGAAGTATGTAAAAATTTATGTTTAGCTGGTGTTGCTGGTATAACCATCATGGATAATGAAAAAGTAAAACAATCGGATGTTGATCATTCTTTAACATTAACAATATCAAAAGAAAATATCAATGAATATAAAGCAGAATGTACATGTAAAATGTTACAACAATTAAATCCACGTGTACATATGCTAGCCGATTATCAAAGAACAATTGAAGAAATTGATATTAATTATTTAAATAGTTTTGATTTTGTTTGTATATTCAATCATTTTAATTACCAACAAATTTTATATTTGAATAATTTATGTCATCAAACTAAGAATAACGATAGACATATCAATTTTTTTTGTGCAGCAACATTTGGCTTATATGGTTATGTATTCAAAGATTTAGGCGAATCGTACGATTATTTCAGGTAAATATGAGCAGACTGTTTTTATTATCTCAGCAAATTTACGGGATCAATGACAGCTTTTTTGCGAGACAAAGATCTCTCGACAAGAAATCCTAAATTCTAGTAGTAGAAGTTGCTTGTATTCTACGAATTTTTGAACAAAGCTTGTTCCATCTTTGTGGATTCGTCACAAATGAATCTTGGTTTTTCATCAAAAATTGAAATATTTGAAGTATTTACCAATAGTCAAAAGTATCTACAACCTGTATATTTTCATATTCTTCTTTGGAAGTTCTTGTAGAATACAGATGTGTTGTCAAAAGTCTCAAATATCATGGCAAATAAATTTTCTTCTCGCTGTTTACTACTTGACATGTACCTATATTTAACATTACTCTTCTTCTTTTAACATTAACTCTTCTTCTTTTTGCAAAATAAAATGTGACAATCCTATGGGACGCTCTAAGAGAAAGCTGAAAACAAACCACATAGTGTCAAACATATGAAAAGAGTATTGTACTAACTGGCCTATTTTCAACCTTGCTACGCCTATAACTTTCTCCAGTGTTTGGACTGAAAGTTTTAATATAGTAATTCTAACGGATCAATCAGAAATAATAGCCTTCACAGTATTTTTCTTGTATCTCTGCATCCCACAAATTCTTTGAGCTGACTGTTTTTGTAAATGATTTTTCGTTTAATTCTTTCTCTACAGAAAAGTATATTAAACATTTTTTTATATAGACTACCGTAAAAGTAAAAGAATATTGGTGAAATACTCTGAAACATTAATCTTCATCACTTTCTAACCCTAAACACAAAAATATTTATTTAAACGCAGTTTTATGCATCAAAATAATAGTCTGATGCTCCTAAGTGTGACAGAGCTTTTGTTTGAGTCACTGTGAAAAAAACAAAATTTGGAATAGATTCTCTTAAATATTCATTGATCGTCTAAATTTTTTTTTTGTTTAAAGCGCAATTTCCCTTGGTACAGAAACACTGATCAAAGGAGAAGGTGGACATCCATCTGAATCTCAAAAAAATGAACAAATTACAAAAAAAAATGTAAGTATTTTCAACGGAAAATGAACAGTTATGACTTCGTCAATATTGATATGAATAGGAACGAAAATTTATTACATTTGAAAAAGCATTAAAAACAGAATGGCGACCAAGTAAACGGCGAGAAATTTATCGTTCAGGTTTAACAACATATACGTTATTAAAAGGTATTCAATGTACTTTAATATCCTCTATTCTATATATTGTTAATGATGGTAATTATTATTTAGCACTTTTGGCATTTTTTGAAAAATATCAACGTGTACCTGAATTAAAAACACACGATATTGACATACCAAATTTACTTTCAATTATAAAACATCTCGATCAAACAGCAACAACAAGCAAAGATATTGATAGCAGTATGAATGACAATGAATTGAATGAAGAAATGCTAACGTAAGAAAAATATTAGTTGCTTATGTTATTCATATTCATTCTTTAGTATTTCCTTTTAGAGATATTTTAAATGACAACAACGCTGTTGCATCGATTGTCGGTGGTGCAATGAGTCATGATATTGTTAAGGTAAGATTATTATTTCTCAATTTTTTAATTTTATAATATATTTCAATTTATTTAGGTTATATCTAAACAAGAACCAAAAGATAACTTTTTCTTTTTCAATGGTTTGTCATGTGTTGGATTATCAGTACCAATCGCTTGTTGATTTTCTTTTTCGAACTATCAAATAGAAAGAAAAAACTCTGTCTGTCTGCTTAATATTGGTATTATAAAACGTGTATAAAAAAAAAACGCTGTTATTTCTTTTTTTGTTGTTATGTTCTCTATGTGTATTATCTGATTTATTTTCTTGAATAAAAAAAGTTGTAGATTAGATGAGAAGTCACTTTTACAAAAACAAAATGAGTTTGTCATTTTTAGATCAGGGAAGAGTTCTTAACAGCGTGTATCAAATAAATAATCCTTTCTTGTAAAACGGGTATCTATTTGCAAAATTGTTGTGCTCTATTCTTTGTACTACTTAAACCAATTAGATACTTCTAAAAAAAACTAAGTCGAATATCATCAAGATTCTTGATCCTGTATGCATTTGCTGCTATGATTATAAGTTATTTTGTGTTTGTAATCATATTTTTAATAAAATTCAACCGAATGAATTATCGGACGTTCATATTCCTGACACAATCATGATTCAGGCATTATTAAGATCCATGATTACACCAAATCCATTATCGAATACGATTATTACCCAACTTATTCATCAACCATCATCAGATTCTTCAACAGCTATTCTAATAACAACTACTATCAGTGCGTTAGCAACCTCTTCACCTGCACGACTATGTCAATATCAATCATAGCAGTCACGTTTAGTACCAGTAACTTCTAAACTGTTCAATCAATTCGACTTCTCAGTCTTTATCCCTGCTTATTATCAACTCATCGTCACATTCATCTCAATGGTATCCTCTCGTTTCGTCCCGTATTTGTTAATTAGCTCTCGTTTCGTCCCGTCTCATTTCGTCCCACACTTGTTTCGTCCCCTCTCGTTTCGTCCCACACTCGTTTCGTCCCGTTTACATTTTCTATCATTC